TAAATTTCTCCTTAATATTGTTCATTATTGTTAAGTGACTAAAGAAAACATAAATTAAAATGGCTCGTAAAGGTGGAGCACCCGCAGAGGATTTGTCAAATGTAGAATTTGAGACCAGCGAAGATGTTGAAGTCATACCCAGTTTTAATGCCATGGGTCTTAAAGAAGAATTACTCAGAGGCATTTATGCCTATGGTAAGTTAAGGGGGGAGTAAATTACTAATATATGTAAATAAAAGAACTAAAATTATAAAAAAAATTTCCCTAGGTTTTGAAAAACCCTCCGCTATACAACAGCGCAGCATCAAGCCCATAGTAAAGGGACGCGATGTCATTGCCCAGGCACAATCTGGTACCGGTAAAACAGCAACTTTCTCCATATCTATATTACAGAGTCTAGACACGTCTCTGCGTGAAACACAAGTCTTATGTCTCTCACCCACCCGTGAATTGGCGGTGCAAATTCAAAAAGTCATCTTGGCCTTGGGTGATTTAATGAACGTACAGTGTCATGTTTGCATTGGTGGCACAAATTTGGGTGAGGATATACGTAAATTGGATTATGGTCAACATATTGTTAGTGGTACCCCCGGCAGAGTATTCGATATGATTAAGCGACGTGTTTTACGTACAAGAGCCATTAAAATGTTGGTCTTGGATGAAGCTGATGAGATGTTGAATAAGGGTTTCAAGGAACAAATTTATGATGTCTATCGTTATTTGCCACCAGCCACACAGGTCGTTTTGATATCGGCTACATTGCCTCATGAAATTTTGGAAATGACCTCGAAATTTATGACAGATCCTATTAGGATTTTGGTAAAACGGTAAGTCGGAAGGAGAGGGAAAATTAATTAGTTAAGACTATTTTAAACTATGTGAAGGCAAGGGAACTTGTGTTTTAAAAATGTTATATGGAATTTTCACTAAATCCTTAAAGGAGGATTTGATTTGATTTAAAAATGGGTATTTTGTCCACAAATCTCTTTAATCTCTAACCACGGAGGATCAATCTTTCATTAAATATTAGTTTAATAAAGGAATGATGGCTTCAATATCGCATAGTAATTTGATGACTTAGAAAGTTGAAATTCTTAAATTTTATACTTGTTTTTTTTAATACATAAACTCATAATCTTTTCTTTCCTTTTACAGTGATGAATTGACCCTGGAAGGCATTAAACAATTCTTTGTCGCCGTCGAACGTGAAGAATGGAAATTCGATACACTATGTGATCTCTACGATACCTTGACCATTACACAAGCTGTCATATTCTGTAATACAAAACGTAAAGTCGATTGGTTAACGGAGAAAATGCGTGAAGCTAATTTCACAGTCAGCTCGATGCACGGTGATATGCCGCAAAAGGAACGTGATGAAATTATGAAAGAATTTCGAGCTGGACAATCACGTGTACTTATTACCACTGATGTTTGGGCGCGTGGTATAGATGTACAACAGGTGTCGCTGGTCATTAATTACGATTTACCCAACAATCGTGAATTGTATATACATCGTATTGGTCGTTCCGGACGTTTTGGTCGTAAAGGTGTCGCTATTAATTTCGTTAAATCCGATGATATTCGTATTTTGCGTGATATTGAACAGTACTATTCAACACAAATTGATGAAATGCCTATGAATGTGGCTGATTTGATTTAAGTTTGCAGAAGTACTACATGTTCGATGTAGTTTTATTAGATGAAGTAATTTTCTAATAATATTTAATCTATATGTAACATTAGATTATAGATAAACAGAATTTTTGAAAATTAATCAAAAACTATTGAACAAAATTAAGCATTTCGCTAATATGTAATCCAAATGAATTCACCTTCTTGTATGAGAGTATTTTTTTTTTACAAGAAATGCCTAATTTATTTTAAGAATTTTTTTGTCATTTTTCAAATAAATTAATAACTTTTTTTTGTATAAGAAACCCTATAATGATTTTGCTAAATAAACTAATTTAATAAAAAAAGCTAAAGAAGTAAGAAAAATTGATTTTTATAATTATATATTTATGTACCTTTTTATCTACTGCTCCTGTCGCATTTTGAATTGCTTTTGGACACAGGCTGAATATTATGAGAAAATGCAATTGCCCTAGTCCATCCAATATAAGGATATATTCATATGGAGTAATTCTTACCATTTAAAATTTAATAAAACTACACTTGAATTTAAAACCATTTAATAATACCTTTATCTCCATAAACTTATCTTTGACGAATTATATTAACGCACTATAACAAAATCTAAACTATTCCTTTATTAATGTGGCAAATTTCAAACAAAACCGATAAGTTGTTATGAAGTTCTATAATAATTATCAAAAGTAAACTTATTTGATTCTATTTTACTAAATTGTTGATGTTTTTATGTTTCTTCTTCTTGTCATTTTTTTAATATTAACTTTGGCGCGTAATTTTCCATACTAAGCGATTTTTGTATATTATGGAGCTTTTATCACAGAAAAAAAGTTGTCAACTCTTTTATTATCTTTCATCCGTTTTATCCTTCATCCGTTACTTAATGTCAAATTAGTATAAAATTCGGCGCGTTTTACATTGGTAGTGATTGTTGGTAACAATTAAGTGAAATCTATTAAAATCTAAAGAAATTATAGTAAAAATAGTTAATATTTAAAGAAAATGTGTTATTCATGTAAAGATTTAAAGATATTTTAAAGAAATCTATGTAACCTACATAATTTTAAAGTAAATCGAGTGCGGGTGATATGTGGTGGCGGCTGTTGTGTAAAATTAACCAAATCTTATGAAAATCTATAGAAAAATGGTGTTGTAATAAAAAAAAAGTTATGTATATAAATAAAATATCTTAAAAAATATCCAGAAATTGTTGGTGAAAATTAAAAAATAAGTAATTGGTCATTTTCTAGGCACAAGAAGAAGAGTTCTTAGTTTTTTTTGTTTTTTTTTTTTTTTTTAATTTTTCCTATACGAAAAAAGAGCTAATGTATTTCATTATGGGAGTGCGTGTATGTGTGCTTTTGAAACAACAACAGGTTAGTAGTAGTTAAAGGAGCACCACTTGCAGACCGATTTTTATTTGACATGTGTTAGAAAAAATTAATTATGGAAATTATTAAAATATAATTCTCAAACATTTTGCATAAAATAAAGGAAATTTACAAACATTTCCTTTCAAATTAGAGGATAAATAAGAATGACTGTTTAGGTATAGTTGGATACAGGGCCCCATGTAAGTACGTCTGTTAAATTTTAAAATTGCAATGAGTTTCATATGTACATAAGTATGTACTTATTTTATCGCAAATGTAATACCTGAATGCAATTTGGTGGACATTATATGTATAACCCACGATATCAACGTTGGTGGGGCGGATAGAAACCAGAATTTCTTCAAACTTGTATAAATGTATTTACACAATTTTTTATTTGAATTGAATTTTTATAAACAAAAAAAAAAAAAACTAATTTTGCTGTAATTTTTACTTGGAACCTAGCAGGAAGATTACAAAGGAGCAAAATCAACCAATTACGGTGACTTTTTGTGAACATTAGAACTAGTAATTAACTGGTTCTAAAGGACCCAATTGGGTCCAAGTGTACTAGTATAAGTCCAGAACTAATGGTACTAGTAATTTTTCAAACACACTCAATGTTAATTTGAGCATTAAGATGGTATAGGAAAGTTTACAGTTGGGAACTAGTACTGGTGATTTTGGTACTAGTAAAGTACTAGTTCCATTTCCTGCAGGGTTGTTAAATTTGCTATACGAAAGACTTGTTTTTTTGCTGCTCATTTTTTTGAGCTTGAATTATACTAGGGAAAGAAAAAGATCCTTAAACAACAACCCAATAGAGGCAGAGCAGTAAATATGTATCTGCTACAATTCACACTTTTCATTAATCATGGGCATATATAAAAAACAAAACTCGGTTTTAGATCCTTCAATTAGTCTTGGGTTAAACATTTGTTGGCCTCTGTTATTAATTGTTCTGTTAGCCTTTATACAAAATTGCTTTGGACATTTATTTTGATGCTAATGTTCTAATGTACTTAGAATTAATGAAATAGGTCGATTTCGAATTGTTTGTTGTTGTTGTTGTTGTAACAGCTAAAACTATACAATAATCTAGTTGGGGGTAATGTCCAGGTCTAAAAATTTGGCTACTTCAACTAGATGCGTCCATAAATCCATTGGAAGGAGCGAAGTAAGGTTGGCTGGGCATGTGGTGGGTGTCATGAGGACCCTGACCACATGCAGGACATTCGTTGGGGTCGGCACGGTCTATACGTGACCAGTAGGCATTGAGCCTGTTGCTCCATCCCGATCGCCAGAGCTACTCTTGTTTTCCGCGGCAGGTTTTTTTCCGTGTTTGTTATGTTGGCGACCTCCAAGTACGACATTCATGTGGTATCCTGCGACTGCGGAATTCATGGCGGCTCTATGAATGTCGTTCAAAGCTGCCGTATACGAGGACTGATCCAATGGATCATGCACATATCTGCATTTGTTTACTTCGTATGTATATACGAAGATTCTTCCTGACATGCCTCGGGGGAGCATCCAACTGTGTGATGTTAAAGTTAGGATGACTCCTTCGATAACATCCGAGGAGGAACTGTTTAATCATGACATTGTGTTCCTTGACTGGGAGGACCTTCGTTTTCTCGAGCAGGTGATGTTCCGAGGTAATTTGTAAGCAGCCTGTTACAGTTCTTAGGGCGGTATTTTGGCAGGGTATCAGTGCGGGAAGGTGACCACAATGGGGTAGCATAATTAACCACTGACCTACCAATCGTTTTATATGTAGCTAACAAGGTTTCTTTATCCATACCCCAAGTGCTGCCGGCTAGCGCTTTGAGGACATTGTTCCTACTTCGCAATTTGTGCGTTTGTTAGTTAGGGTCGGATGCGTTTTAGGTGACGATATGTCACCTCTTGTTGTATTTAACTACTTTCGTAAAGATATCTAATAACTCATTAAATAAAAACAAAATGTTTTAATATGTATAAAAAATAGTTTTTAATTATGTACAAAGAAATAATTACCTTTCTTAAATTAAAATAAATAACTTAAAAACATCATATAATATGTATAAGTATATACATATGTATGTATGTATACTAAAATTAATTTAAATTATAGTTCCGTTGTTTCTAATTTCCTTGCTAATATTTGAGCATTATTTGTTAATTTGTCTATTTGATTATAAACATTAAAATGACGATTCAAATCATTAGTATGATTAAATAATTTTGCAGTACCCTTTAAAGTTTCCTGAATGTCCTGAGCACCAATGGCTAGAAAATTATCATCCAAAGAATCATGACCACTTTGGCTGTAAAGTTGAAAAAAATAGAGTAAAAATATGGATTTTACATTAAGAAAAGAAATTGAAATCTGCACCTTAAATTTTCCTCGGTTTTAAACCATTCGTTTTCATAACCTTTTAGCCATATGGGATTGGAACCTTGAACACTGTGTTTATTGGTATTGGGTACTCGGGTGGTGGGTTCATTTGGATGTTGTAAAGATAATGAAGAATTTCCTGTAACAAGTAGGATTAAATAAATTTTGTAATTTTCATCTTAATATTGTCGAACTTACGAAATATATTAACTTTTGCTGCTCTTAATTGGCGTTTGTAGCCATTTCTTTGTGAGGCGCATAAAGCTAATGTAACCACCAATAGTGTGGCCAGAAATAGATTGGTGAATATCAACCAAACATACATGGCTTTGGCTTGAGGACCAGCTTGCAATAACTGAGCTTCGGCTGCTTGGGTATCCAATACATTAAGTTCCTTAAACAATTCATCCAAGTGTTCTATGTGGGAGTCAATTAGATTTAAAACTTCAGCCACTTCATATATCGAATTATCTTCTTTCCCCACTAAATGCATATACAAATCAGTTTTAGTTTTATCTACTGAACCGTCCTTATTTTCATGAACCTTTATTTCATCTATATTTACTATAGTATCCGTGATATTGCTTAAGGTTCTAAAAATCATAATAACATTAGTTAAAGAGATATTTTATATTTTTCTATATAAAACAAACTTACTCTCTAAACTCCTCAATTTTATTTCTCAATTCATTCGGCTGCAAACGAAAAACAAATCTCACTTTTTGATCTTCTCTTAATAAATATATAAAAACATGAGCCACATCTTTCATGCCAGCCGTATCATTGGCCAATACCATAAAATCAAAATATCCTTTCATACCCTTTTGGGGATCAAAGTTCAGTTGAATTTCACCAGTTTCTTGATCCACCAAAAACGGCGAGCTTTCTTAAACCCTTGGATCAAGAAACTGGTGAATTAACTGAACTTTGATCCCCAAAAGGGTATGAAAGGATATTTTGATTTTATGGTATTGGCCAATGATACGGCTGGCATGAAAGATGTGGCTCATGTTTTTATATATTTATTAAGAGAAGATCAAAAAGTGAGATTTGTTTTTCGTTTGCAGCCGAATGAATTGAGAAATAAAATTGAGGAGTTTAGAGAGTAAGTTTGTTTTATATAGAAAAATATAAAATATCTCTTTAACTAATGTTATTATGATTTTTAGACCTTAAGCAATATCACGGATACTATAGTAAATATAGATGAAATAAAGGTTCATGAAAATAAGGACGGTTCAGTAGATAAAACTAAAACTGATTTGTATATGCATTTAGTGGGGGAAGAAGATAATTCGATATATGAAGTGGCTGAAGTTTTAAATCTAATTGACTCCCACATAGAACACTTGGATGAATTGTTTAAGGAACTTAATGTATTGGATACCCAAGCAGCCGAAGCTCAGTTATTGCAAGCTGGTCCTCAAGCCAAAGCCATGTATGTTTGGTTGATATTCACCAATCTATTTCTGGCCACACTATTGGTGGTTACATTAGCTTTATGCGCCCTCACAAAGAAATGGCTACAAACGCCAATTAAGAGCAGCAAAAGTTAATATATTTCGTAAGTTCGACAATATTAAGATGAAAATTACAAAATTTATTTAATCCTACTTGTTACAGGAAATTCTTCATTATCTTTACAACATCCAAATGAACCCACCACCCGAGTACCCAATACCAATAAACACAGTGTTCAAGGTTCCAATCCCATATGGCTAAAAGGTTATGAAAACGAATGGTTTAAAACCGAGGAAAATTTAAGGTGCAGATTTCAATTTCTTTTCTTAATGTAAAATCCATATTTTTACTCTATTTTTTTCAACTTTACAGCCAAAGTGGTCATGATTCTTTGGATGATAATTTTCTAGCCATTGGTGCTCAGGACATTCAGGAAACTTTAAAGGGTACTGCAAAATTATTTAATCATACTAATGATTTGAATCGTCATTTTAATGTTTATAATCAAATAGACAAATTAACAAATAATGCTCAAATATTAGCAAGGAAATTAGAAACAACGGAACTATAATTTAAATTAATTTTAGTATACATACATACATATGTATATACTTATACATATTATATGATGTTTTTAAGTATTTATTTTAATTTAAGAAAGGTAATTATTTCTTTGTACATAATTAAAAACTATTTTTTATACATATTAAAACATTTTGTTTTTATTTAATGAGTTATTAGATATCTTACGAAAGTAGTTAAATACAACAAGAGGTGACATATCGTCACCTAAAACGCATCCGACCCTAACTAACAAACGCACAAATTGCGAAGTAGGAACAATGTCCTCAAAGCGCTAGCCGGCAGCACTTGGGGTATGGATAAAGAAACCTTGTTAGCTACATATAAAACGATTGGTAGGTCAGTGGTTAATTATGCTACCCCATTGTGGTCACCTTCCCGCACTGATACCCTGCCAAAATACCGCCCTAAGAACTGTAACAGGCTGCTTACAAATTACCTCGGAACATCACCTGCTCGAGAAAACGAAGGTCCTCCCAGTCAAGGAACACAATGTCATGATTAAACAGTTCCTCCTCGGATGTTATCGAAGGAGTCATCCTAACTTTAACATCACACAGTTGGATGCTCCCCCGAGGCATGTCAGGAAGAATCTTCGTATATACATACGAAGTAAACAAATGCAGATATGTGCATGATCCATTGGATCAGTCCTCGTATACGGCAGCTTTGAACGACATTCATAGAGCCGCCATGAATTCCGCAGTCGCAGGATACCACATGAATGTCGTACTTGGAGGTCGCCAACATAACAAACACGGAAAAAAACCTGCCGCGGAAAACAAGAGTAGCTCTGGCGATCGGGATGGAGCAACAGGCTCAATGCCTACTGGTCACGTATAGACCGTGCCGACCCCAACGAATGTCCTGCATGTGGTCAGGGTCCTCATGACACCCACCACATGCCCAGCCAACCTTACTTCGCTCCTTCCAATGGATTTATGGACGCATCTAGTTGAAGTAGCCAAATTTTTAGACCTGGACATTACCCCCCAACTAGATTATTGTATAGTTTTAGCTGTTACAACAACAACAAACAACAAACAATTCGAAATCGACCTATTTCATTAATTCTAAGTACATTAGAACATTAGCATCAAAATAAATGTCCAAAGCAATTTTGTATAAAGGCTAACAGAACAATTAATAACAGAGGCCAACAAATGTTTAACCCAAGACTAATTGAAGGATCTAAAACCGAGTTTGTTTTTTATATATGCCCATGATTAATGAAAAGTGTGAATTGTAGCAGATACATATTTACTGCTCTGCCTCTATTGGGTTGTTGTTTAAGGATCTTTTTCTTTCCCTAGTATAATTCAAGCTCAAAAAAATGAGCAGCAAAAAAACAAGTCTTTCGTATAGCAAATTTAACAACCCTGCAGGAAATGGAACTAGTACTTTACTAGTACCAAAATCACCAGTACTAGTTCCCAACTGTAAACTTTCCTATACCATCTTAATGCTCAAATTAACATTGAGTGTGTTTGAAAAATTACTAGTACCATTAGTTCTGGACTTATACTAGTACACTTGGACCCAATTGGGTCCTTTAGAACCAGTTAATTACTAGTTCTAATGTTCACAAAAAGTCACCGTAATTGGTTGATTTTGCTCCTTTGTAATCTTCCTGCTAGGTTCCAAGTAAAAATTACAGCAAAATTAGTTTTTTTTTTTTTTGTTTATAAAAATTCAATTCAAATAAAAAATTGTGTAAATACATTTATACAAGTTTGAAGAAATTCTGGTTTCTATCCGCCCCACCAACGTTGATATCGTGGGTTATACATATAATGTCCACCAAATTGCATTCAGGTATTACATTTGCGATAAAATAAGTACATACTTATGTACATATGAAACTCATTGCAATTTTAAAATTTAACAGACGTACTTACATGGGGCCCTGTATCCAACTATACCTAAACAGTCATTCTTATTTATCCTCTAATTTGAAAGGAAATGTTTGTAAATTTCCTTTATTTTATGCAAAATGTTTGAGAATTATATTTTAATAATTTCCATAATTAATTTTTTCTAACACATGTCAAATAAAAATCGGTCTGCAAGTGGTGCTCCTTTAACTACTACTAACCTGTTGTTGTTTCAAAAGCACACATACACGCACTCCCATAATGAAATACATTAGCTCTTTTTTCGTATAGGAAAAATTAAAAAAAAAAAAAAAAACAAAAAAAACTAAGAACTCTTCTTCTTGTGCCTAGAAAATGACCAATTACTTATTTTTTAATTTTCACCAACAATTTCTGGATATTTTTTAAGATATTTTATTTATATACATAACTTTTTTTTTATTACAACACCATTTTTCTATAGATTTTCATAAGATTTGGTTAATTTTACACAACAGCCGCCACCACATATCACCCGCACTCGATTTACTTTAAAATTATGTAGGTTACATAGATTTCTTTAAAATATCTTTAAATCTTTACATGAATAACACATTTTCTTTAAATATTAACTATTTTTACTATAATTTCTTTAGATTTTAATAGATTTCACTTAATTGTTACCAACAATCACTACCAATGTAAAACGCGCCGAATTTTATACTAATTTGACATTAAGTAACGGATGAAGGATAAAACGGATGAAAGATAATAAAAGAGTTGACAACTTTTTTTCTGTGATAAAAGCTCCATAATATACAAAAATCGCTTAGTATGGAAAATTACGCGCCAAAGTTAATATTAAAAAAATGACAAGAAGAAGAAACATAAAAACATCAACAATTTAGTAAAATAGAATCAAATAAGTTTACTTTTGATAATTATTATAGAACTTCATAACAACTTATCGGTTTTGTTTGAAATTTGCCACATTAATAAAGGAATAGTTTAGATTTTGTTATAGTGCGTTAATATAATTCGTCAAAGATAAGTTTATGGAGATAAAGGTATTATTAAATGGTTTTAAATTCAAGTGTAGTTTTATTAAATTTTAAATGGTAAGAATTACTCCATATGAATATATCCTTATATTGGATGGACTAGGGCAATTGCATTTTCTCATAATATTCAGCCTGTGTCCAAAAGCAATTCAAAATGCGACAGGAGCAGTAGATAAAAAGGTACATAAATATATAATTATAAAAATCAATTTTTCTTACTTCTTTAGCTTTTTTATTAAATTAGTTTATTTAGCAAAATCATTATAGGGTTTCTTATACAAAAAAAAGTTATTAATTTATTTGAAAAATGACAAAAAAATTCTTAAAATAAATTAGGCATTTCTTGTAAAAAAAAAAATACTCTCATACAAGAAGGTGAATTCATTTGGATTACATATTAGCGAAATGCTTAATTTGTTCAATAGTTTTTGATTAATTTTCAAAAATTCTGTTTATCTATAATCTAATGTTACATATAGATTAAATATTATTAGAAAATTACTTCATCTAATAAAACTACATCGAACATGTAGTACTTCTGCAAACTTAAATCAAATCAGCCACATTCATAGGCATTTCATCAATTTGTGTTGAATAGTACTGTTCAATATCACGCAAAATACGAATATCATCGGATTTAACGAAATTAATAGCGACACCTTTACGACCAAAACGTCCGGAACGACCAATACGATGTATATACAATTCACGATTGTTGGGTAAATCGTAATTAATGACCAGCGACACCTGTTGTACATCTATACCACGCGCCCAAACATCAGTGGTAATAAGTACACGTGATTGTCCAGCTCGAAATTCTTTCATAATTTCATCACGTTCCTTTTGCGGCATATCACCGTGCATCGAGCTGACTGTGAAATTAGCTTCACGCATTTTCTCCGTTAACCAATCGACTTTACGTTTTGTATTACAGAATATGACAGCTTGTGTAATGGTCAAGGTATCGTAGAGATCACATAGTGTATCGAATTTCCATTCTTCACGTTCGACGGCGACAAAGAATTGTTTAATGCCTTCCAGGGTCAATTCATCACTGTAAAAGGAAAGAAAAGATTATGAGTTTATGTATTAAAAAAAACAAGTATAAAATTTAAGAATTTCAACTTTCTAAGTCATCAAATTACTATGCGATATTGAAGCCATCATTCCTTTATTAAACTAATATTTAATGAAAGATTGATCCTCCGTGGTTAGAGATTAAAGAGATTTGTGGACAAAATACCCATTTTTAAATCAAATCAAATCCTCCTTTAAGGATTTAGTGAAAATTCCATATAACATTTTTAAAACACAAGTTCCCTTGCCTTCACATAGTTTAAAATAGTCTTAACTAATTAATTTTCCCTCTCCTTCCGACTTACCGTTTTACCAAAATCCTAATAGGATCTGTCATAAATTTCGAGGTCATTTCCAAAATTTCATGAGGCAATGTAGCCGATATCAAAACGACCTGTGTGGCTGGTGGCAAATAACGATAGACATCATAAATTTGTTCCTTGAAACCCTTATTCAACATCTCATCAGCTTCATCCAAGACCAACATTTTAATGGCTCTTGTACGTAAAACACGTCGCTTAATCATATCGAATACTCTGCCGGGGGTACCACTAACAATATGTTGACCATAATCCAATTTACGTATATCCTCACCCAAATTTGTGCCACCAATGCAAACATGACACTGTACGTTCATTAAATCACCCAAGGCCAAGATGACTTTTTGAATTTGCACCGCCAATTCACGGGTGGGTGAGAGACATAAGACTTGTGTTTCACGCAGAGACGTGTCTAGACTCTGTAATATAGATATGGAGAAAGTTGCTGTTTTACCGGTACCAGATTGTGCCTGGGCAATGACATCGCGTCCCTTTACTATGGGCTTGATGCTGCGCTGTTGTATAGCGGAGGGTTTTTCAAAACCTAGGGAAATTTTTTTTATAATTTTAGTTCTTTTATTTACATATATTAGTAATTACTCCCCCCTTAACTTACCATAGGCATAAATGCCTCTGAGTAATTCTTCTTTAAGACCCATGGCATTAAAACTGGGTATGACTTCAACATCTTCGCTGGTCTCAAATTCTACATTTGACAAATCCTCTGCGGGTGCTCCACCTTTACGAGCCATTTTAATTTATGTTTTCTTTAGTCACTTAACAATAATGAACAATATTAAGGAGAAATTTATTAAGTTATTTCAATATTTTTTGCTGTAAATTGAAAATAATGCCAAGCCACGAAAAAAAGAATTATTTTTTACAATGTGGTTCGCTGCAGATTGTTTTGACGTTTACTTTTGCTGTTCTTATTCGTCACTTTCTCTATTCGTTATAAAATAAGGGTTGCCAGTATGTTAAAAAGCAAAAATGAAATGAATGAGTAATTTTTGAGGAAATTTTGGTGTCAAAAATATGGTGAGCATGTGTTTGTTAAAAACTAATATAAAAATAAAAACAATACTAGTATTCAGGCATGGAAATTCAGTACTAAGTTTTTTCAGTACTTTTTAATCTATTGTCTATTGTCCAGTTTATAGTCTAATCTTTAGTCTGTAGTATAGTCTATCATCCTGTCGACAATATCTATAATTTACTATATAGTCTAGTCCATAGTCTCGCTTATGAATGCTAACAGAAAATTAATAGTTTAAAACCTAAAAAGTGCCATTTTTGTTACTAGTACTATTCCAAAATTCCAATTTTCCATACCTGCTAATATGAGTGGTTTTTAGAGTATTTTTCTGCTTTCAAAAATTCAATAAAAAATATTTAAAATTTCTGAAAATAAAATTTCCGCCCGATATACTGAATACGAGGGTAAATATGTTCACGATTTTGAGTTGCCAAACGTAATTAAAACATTTTTTTTTAATTTTTAATTAAAAATAAACATATTATTTATTTTTTAAGTTAATTATATTACTAAATAAATTATATAACTAATTATTACACCGTTATATTAAAAATTAAAAATATTTTGGTTAAAAAATGAACCAAAAATATTGCAAAATAATTTTTAAAATTAGTTTTTTTTTTTATATTTCATTATACTCAAAAACTTTCCATAAATTATATTTTTTTATAAAAAAAAAATTAAAATTTATGTGTAAGTTCTTTTTAAAAAAATATCACATTTATTTTATTTTTTATAAGAAAAGTTTTTGAATATGTGTAAACGAACTTTTTGTTTAATTGAGCTTTTTTTAAATTATATGTTTTTTTTCAGGTTCACTTATAAATAACGAAATAAAATAAAACAAAAATAAATTAATAGAAAATGTACAAGATTTTAATAAAAATTAAATCAGTATTTTTTTTTTTAAATTTTACAACAAAAATGTAGTATTTTACTGAGTATCTAGTACTCATCTATTAAGTTTTTCTTAAAATTTTTAAGATTATTCGCTTATTTACAACAAGATTGCCGCAATAAAAATTTCGCCGTTTTTATCGAAAAGTTGTTTTTTAAGTTATGGCAGTCTTATAGAAAACGTGTGATATCTTTCTATAATCCATACTAGAGCCGCAATTTTCATTATCTTTTTCGATATCAAACAAGAAATCTTTTGTTACGAAAACTTACTCTTGCATATGCGGTAATTCGGTAGAGAAATGTAACACTTTTGGAGGAGACTTTTATTTAGGATTCTCTAAATTTACTTTTGTATGAGGAAAAAGTAGAGATAAGTCGATTTAGCGATGCCCGTGCCTTTGTTTGTTGAAAACAATATTGTGAAGACCTCAATAATTTTATCAGACATGCTTTCGAGAAGTTTACTATTGAAAATCAACAAAATCATATACATATGTATATGCAAAATTCCTAATATAAACCCATGATGGAATTTTCAAATTGTACAAAACGGCATTAAAAATCGTACTTTTTTATTTCGATATTAAACTTAAATTTTTTCTTATAAATATTTAATATTAAGACTATAGTCTATAAAGTCAACACCAGTCTATAAACTAGACAGTACACTAGTATATCGACTACACAATACACTACTTTATAGCATAGCCTTTAGACTAGTTTATAGAATAGCCCGAAGACTAATCCATAGACATACATATGTATGTAGATTGTGCCAAATAGGTCGTTCAGAAAACCATTTTCAACAAACAGGTGGACTTTGCTAAATCGACTTCCCTTAGATTTAGAATTCGCAAAATGAAATTGTAGAAATTACAAACGGAATGACAAATTTAATTTTAAAGAAAAATTATTTTGAAAAAGGAATCGGCATTGGAAGAATACAAATAATACAAATTTAAAGCTTATTTATAAATAAAAAAAAAAACATGAAAAATGTATTTAACAAAGTGTTATTAAAAATATATATGTATATTATTTTTTAAAAATACAAAAAATATATTAATAAAATTTTCAAATATGAAAAAAAAAACATTAAAATATAAATTAGTGAACTAAGAAATATTCAACTTTATTATTTAAATTTAATTTCTTTCTATCAAAAAGTGTTAGTTTTTTTGTTGTTTGTTTCTTTTCTTAATCACATATAATTTGTTGGGGAGAAGGGGGGTTTTGGGGGTCAAGATTAAATGGTTTTTGTTGCTTTCGAGGAACACTAATGGGGTGGGTGTTTAATATGTATGCATCTAACAATATGTAAATGAGAAATACAGAGCAGATAGTAACTAGTTTGCAGGATTTTGTAAGCGTTCCACTACTACAACATCAACAATATTATCACCATTATTATCGTTATTAGCAACATTTTGAATGCCAGCATTATTTTCAATGGCTCTATTTACATTTGGTGATAAATTAACACTTAATTGTGGCTGCAGCTGTTGTTCCTTATGAAAACCATTAACTTTGGGAGAATTTTCCTCATACTCATCATCACCTTCAATATCGTCGTAATCCTCCATATGATCATCCAATAATTGCCGACGTTCATAATCATCTTCTACTTGTGGTGATGATGCTGCTGCTGTTGGTTGGCCATTATTATTTACTAGACCATTATCTCCTCGTCGTTCTTCTGCTAGATTATTGTGCATATAGTTATTTTCTATATAGCCATTATACTCACTTAAAGAACTGTGTGAAGAACAACTACGTCGACGTCGCACCTGTTGATGGCGCTCATCATTGCTCGACGATGATGAAGAGGACGATGAGGAACTGGATGTTGAACTATCACTTTCACTATCCTCACTGGATGAATCCATGGGGGTAGGTTGACAGGCGGCACCCATTGGAGCTGCAGCTGAAGGTGGTGAGGCTGCAGCAGCGGCTGCAAATGGTGCTGAACGCATTAATTGACAGCGTAAATCTATAATTAAAAGATAAAATAATTATTTTTACGTTAAATAAAATTTAGTTTTAATATAAGGTATTCTTTAAACATAAAAAAACAAAATGTGATTTTAATCGCTCTAAAATTTTTGGAACAAATTTGAATTTTCGAAAATTTTCAAAAGATTATAATCTCGACAAATTGTGATCTTTAATTTTGGCAAAATTTTGTCAATAAACTACTTACTATGATTCTCCCTTGACAGCTCCTTAACTTTATCATCCAGTACTCTTATTTTCGCCATATATTCTTGTGCTATGCGCTGTATATTCAGTTGCTGTTGCCGCTGATTACCCTGATCTTTGGAATAACGATCTTCTATTTGCAAACATTCCTCGATTAGTTCCTGTTTACTCAAACTCTCTAAACGCTCCACTCTAGCTTTTTCGTAAACATTAGCGAATTCTTTCGTTAGAAATTCTTCTTCATCTTCGGGTAAAGAGAAAAAATAATTATCTTCCGAGTCCATGGAAAAACTAGAATCTCTTGTACGGCCTGTGGGTGTTAGCAGAGCACTGGGCACCTCTGCCAAATGTTCTTCCATTAGAAATTTATTAGTATTATATGGTACTAAGGAGCGTGAACGTTGTAGTTTTTCACGGCGATTACAACCACCACTACCGCCGGCCGAAGCACATTTACTATAGTTGAGTCGTGGCATTTGAAATCTCCAATTGGTTTTCTTGTACGGTTTATTGGCATTTTTTGCTTTGGGTTTGCCGCGTCTATGCTTTCGTTTTGTCTTTTGCTGTGGTTGTTGCTGCTGCTGCTTCTGCTGACCGGGTGGACTAACCATAGGTCCTTTGGGAGCTCCCTCAGCTGGTGGAATTACAACCACCTCATCTTGGATTCTTGGGGATTCAGTTAATTTTTCAGGGGAATTTACTGTAAGTATGGAAAAAAAAGTACGTTTAGTGCATTTAGTTATATACAGTGCAGTTCGGATAGCCGAATCTTTTACACACTTTTTTTCCTAGACATAGTTTATATCAAATGATAGTTCCTGCGAATATCTTTCTTTCGATATACATACTACCCATGTACACATATCGAACAAAACATCCAAATATATTCAAAATTCTGGTAAAATTATATATTTTTTTTTTTTTGGGGAATTTTGCTCATATCTCCGTTATTTAGGAACTGATTTTGCAGATTTTTAATAGCAAACTTTTCTAAAGCATGTCTGATAGAACTATTCAAGATTTGGATCCCGAAGATATCTGGGGTCTTCTGAAATTAGTTTTCAATGACTTCGCTATCAATCAGAACAAAAATTTCAAGAAATGGTATCTTAGAATGAACTAAATTTTAATTTTCGGCGGGAAGATCAGCAACTTCCATTTCGGTGCCATTATATACTTTACATGGTCGGAAAATTATATTGTGGAAATTACAACATATTTATGTATGTATCCGTCTTGTACGTCTATGTATATATATATTTAAAATACAACTTTAAAAATATTTCTTTTCGAATCGAATTACAAAGAAATACCCCTGAATCAAGGGATTAATTTATCAATTGTATTTCAGAAATGTTCCTTTCTGATAATATTTTAAAATACAATTCGAAAATTCTGAAATACAATGAGAAATTTCTAATATACATATAATACTACAGTCAAACTCGCTTATAACGAACTCGGTTATAACGAATTCTCGGTTATTACGAACAAGTTTTCAAGTCCCGCAATTTTGGTAACTATTTTCATACAAAAAAATATCTCTTATAAAGAACTCGGTTATTACGAATCCTCGTATAAAACGAACTACTTTTTCAGTCCCCCAAGTACAATTTCATACAATTTTCCTTTTTTATAACGAACTTCAAAATAATGTGTTGAAATCATAAGAATATATTTTGCTTTGTTGAAAAAAAAAAACTTTAATTTGTTAAGAAAAATATGGACAAATAAAATCAATGGTGTTTTTTTGTAAATAATATTAAATAAATTAATAAATAATATTCTTAAAATTTCGTAAAATGCCACTTTATTTTTGGAACTACAAAAACTTCACCTGTCTTATTAACAACTTCGCTTATAACGAACAAATTTGACTGCTCCCGCGGAGTCGTTATAAACGAGTTTGACTGTAATTCAAATGAAATACATTGGAAATAGTGTAATTTAAAAGTATTTTGCATATACAACGGTAACCCCCAAATTCTTTACGAAAGCGCTAGGCGTTATATTATAAAATAAAATTTTAAATTACTAGTACATAGTTTTTTATTTCGAAAAATATTTAAATTTCTTTAAAGATTCTAAGTTAAAAAGAAATAATCTGCAATTTCCCCCATGCCGAAGGGTAAGCCCTATATAAAAAATGTACTCTATTTCAAAATCACCTAATAAATACAACCCTTTTTAAAAAGACCCCCCTCCACACACCCATTTCAAAAACAATGGCAACTCTGGCGATTAAAAATAAACCGACATCCACGCTACACAACTACATAAAAATAAACGTATAAAAAGCAAAACAAAAAAAAAACGCAGCAACAAAATTAAAAATCTAAATTCTCAATAGTCGCCATTTGTCGTATCTCAACGAACGGGAGGGCCGAGAAAATGTTCTAAATTATTAATTTGAGAACTTACCTGGTTTAATTGCTATTTCCATCGTTTTTCAGTTTTTCCAAAACAAAAACTTGCTCTTTGTGTAATAATGCCTAACGATTTTAAATGTTTTCCGAAATGCAAATAAATTTCAAGAAATAATATCACTTCACTTTTCGACTTTAATTAAATCACTTGAATTGTTGTGCGCGATGTTTCTGTCCGATTTGAATTCTATCGCCATTTTCTCAGTAATAAACGTCCCTTTCATAGAAATTGCGAAGAAACCAAAATGTGTAGGGAAAAAAATGAATAAAAAGAAAAACTACAAAACTACGAAAATTTGTAGTACAACTTGGAGGGAGTGTTGACAACTTTTTTAGCTGAAAAACCGCTGTAAGTTTAAGGGCAAAAAGATGAACTATGAAAATCCTAAACATAATTTTACTCGGTAATTCGGGTTGTGTTATGATTTTTATATATTTTATTTAAAAACTTTATCAGTTCAGAATATTGTCTTTTTATAAAAAAAGAACTTCAAAATTTGGCGTAAATAGAGCGTTCTAATATAGCAGATTACAAGAAAATTATAGTTGTACCTGATGAGGTATTAATGGAATGATCCTCGAAATACCTTATGATTTAAGTATATCTCATATCCCATAGAGAGCCGCGGAGGCGGAGGCAGAGATACAAGACGATGGGAAATGAACGGCGGCGGCGGCGCAACCATTTCGGGTCGGCGGCGGCGGCTAAATTGTCGGCTCAATTTACCTTTTTCTTTAGAAATTGACCTTATAAGGTTTATTATATTGGAAAATCTTTGTATAATAGTCTGTTACATAGAAACCTGTCTCTATATAAGTTTTTTTTCTGCAGAAAATGGACATTTATAGTAGTTTTCACTATTTTAATATTAGCACAATATTGTGTGGCAACTCTTTTCAATTTGCCATAAGAATTTAAAATAGTGGCAACACCGTTCAATTTGGTGAAATTATGTTCTGAAATACATGTGTGATTCTAATCTTTATCAGCGGCTACGTTTAAGCCGGCTTAGCTTTTGAGTCGAAAGAAGTCGGCGACGGCGCGGCTTGCAAAATATTACCGGCGGCCAGCCGCCGCCGATTTGAGCCGTCTCGGCTTGTATCTCTGGGCGGAGGCTTATAACTAGGACATCTTACAACACTGAAAGCCATTCTAATGTCACAGGGTATACAGAGGCGTCACAAGCAAAAAACTATTTCCCTCTCTTTCGCACAAAACGAATTCAATAATTTTTTTAGCTGTATTTTATATACCTCTTCTCACCAAACAATTTCAAAATCAAACAAAAGCTGATTTTAGACTTTTTTAAATGTCAAAAGTGACACCTCTGTATACTTTGTGCTAATGTGTCATAAACAGAATGGCGGTTTTAATACCTCTTAGAAAAATGTTTAAATGATTAAAAAATATTCAAGTTGATAACACTGCTCTTAAACCTACTCTGGCCCAGAGTTGTAACTTGTAGTATTTATATTACATTATTACAGGTGACATTTTTGTCATTTAATAATATTTATATATGTATTTATTAATAAAATATATATTATAATATTCGTTTATACAATTGTTAAATATAAAAAATCTTAATAAATATTACTTAAATGTTTGTAGGCGCCTAAAAATATATGTTGAATTTTAGCAAAATATTATAAAGTCTGGTTATATTTAACTGAATACAAAGGCTGCCACACTATTTAACTTAAAAATGTAATATTTTACTAGAAACTTTTAAAACACATTCTTAATTTCGAAATTGTTTGCTACACTTTTAAACAATTAAGTTATATTTAAAGTTAACCATTGCTAAAATTTTAATAACCTTTAATTGTTAATTGTTATTTAATTTATTAAACTTTAAACAACAAATCAAATATAACACCATCTGGCAACACGTGTCTCATTAACTTTTTTTTCCAATTCAGCTGTGAGCGGGAGAGAGAACACATATTCGTTGGTCGTTGCCAATAACCGAAGTAGACAAAGCTGACGAATTATCCGCCATTTTAGTTGCGTGTTGTCATCTCTCAGCTAATGTCGCATTGAAAAAATTTTCAATTTACGAAAAAGCTAATAAAAAGTTTTACAAACGCTTAAAAAATACCAAATTTTGCAAATATATTGATTAATTTAACGATTTCAAAAACATTAATCTTTCTACGAAGTATTTAAGCCAATAAAAACGGGCGTGAAAATACCATATTATACATTTTTTTCTTTCGAAAGAAGTGAGAGAAGCAAGAAACAATATTTTTATTAACAGAACCAGCCTATCTTTTGAAGGGGAGCAAGCAGTGAGAAGAAGAAAAATTCCCAGGCAGGTCTGTTTTTACAATAAAGAAAAATAAAAAATATGTTTAATAGCTTATGAGAGCGAAAGAGATAAATATATACATGTAAATGATGATAAATTGTTATAAAAAGAAAACTTTAAATGCAGCGTTGCCAGAGGAGTGGTGTTGTGGTGGTGATTTTTTTAATGTTTTTGAAGTCGTTAAGAATATTTTGGGCGAGTTTTTTATTTTTCAAAATTCGCTAGGGAAATATTTTCAATTAACGCAAAACGTACACAAACTGAATTATTTTTATTATTTTTTATAACTACTTGCCTTTTGTGGTGGGCACGGTCGGCTTAAGGGATTTTTCTCCTATTATATTTGAAACAAAAAAAGTCGACTTTACAATGAATATACGAAAATTTTACACCGATTTTTAAGTCTTAGATTTACGACTGATTTTGTTATTATTATGTGCGTTTGAAGCATATTCGGCTGTAGCAAAAAAAAAAATTATATCGACTTATTCTGATTTTTATTTATAAAGTTGTTATTCGATTTATTAGTACAAGATACTCTACTTACCGATTTTTTAACAATATAGTCTGGTTTGAAATTCGATTTATAAAATTCTAGATTATAGCACGTAAAAATAATTTGACGTCCGAACAGGAACTTTATATGATGGAAATCTGTTTCCTTGGATTAAAAAAATACGTTCAGATTATTTGATTTAAAAAGCAAAATTTTATATAGTTCTTTATTTAAAAGCAATACAACTCATATACGATTTTTTGCTTATTTTTATAAACGCTAATAGCAGCATCTTTTTAAATGAATATTTATCTGGCAACTCTTTTTACTGAGAATGACACCACCACAAAACAAACAGAAAAAAACAAGTTTTGCGAAACATATTTAAAGAGAATGAATGAGAGAGAAATTCCTTGTAAATTGGCGCAATTTTTTTGTTTGCGAATTCAGCATTCTCATTTGTTATTTTATTACTGTGCTGATAAAGGGAGAACAAAATGTACTTAATGATTCATGAATCAAAACAATTTAATTTTAGTGGTGTATTGTTAATAACTCGATATTAGTTCAATTTATTGAAATATTCAAATTTGTATGATATATTTTTATTTGCCAGGATTCTAAGCAGGATTTTTAATTCCTACTCAGAATGTGGTTCATTAAATGAGACAATCGACTTTCTGTTTAAGTCGACTTTTCATAAATTGCTAAAGCCAATAAAGGGCCCTTCAGACGATAACACTTTACGTACGACAAGTCTAATGAAAAAGTAAAATGAAATTCCATCCGTATGACAAAAAAGAGAAATAGGTAAAAGTTGTATGATTAATATTTTTTGTGTTTACACAATTGGTATAAAACAATAACAAAGAGCTGTTTCACTTTTTTTCGTATGTGTTTACATAAAAATACATCCCTGATCTAATGCGACTTGCTTTTTTTGAATCATTTAAAAAAATTAAGTGCAATACTTGACAGTCGTATTGCTCTTAATTTTTTTCCATCCGTAATTTTTCTCAATGTGTGATGATTTCATTACATATTGCGTTTAGACGAACCCATCCGTTCTCTTCTACACAAAATTTTGACAGATCATATTACTTGTGTGCTCGTGTGAAGGGGGCTTAAGAAGACTTTGTCTGTAAACTGCGTCACAAAAGCAATTTGTGAAACTTAACAGTAAAACCTGAACATGTAACTACAGGGTTAGGGCGACCCCATCTGATTAGAGTAAAATAACATATCAGTAGGTATATTCATAACTACAATTAATTCTATTGCGTATTAATTCTATTTTACGTAGGGCTCCATAGTTCAAACAAAAACTCGGATTTTTGCAATTTATGAAAAGTAGATTTTTAAAAGTTTTACAACTTAAGTCTTACATTTTTGATATAATGTACATTAGTAACAATATCTATATCCATCTAAACAAAAAATTGATTTTAATTATTTATCTTTCTTTCGAATTTCTTAAAATTTTACCGATTTTTCTTTTTGTAACAAAATAGTAAACAGACTTTTTGACAAACTGTTGAGAAATTTATTCTTTGGTTGAGAGTTAAAAAGTTTGAGAACATTTAACGTCTGAATGCCTTTTTTAGATACTTTTTTTTAAAGAATCCTTTTTTATTTTGAAAACTTAAATTTTTTTTTAAATTTGTTTGCTTTTCTTTTTCAAAACATTTTTGTATGTATTTATATTTGTAGTGTAGATTTATTTTCTGCCTGCATTTGTATTTCAGCTTTTTATAGTCCAAAGGTAGATTTTTTCTTTAAATTTCTATGATAATTAAATTAAATATTATCCTTGGTCGCATTTGTATCTAGAGATGAATGGAAAAAAATGTAAAAATAAAAAGTTTTTTATTATTATTTCTATTATTTATTTATACCTACCTACAAAAAGTTTAATTGTGGGCAGGTGAAAAATTAAATGTGTATGTATGTACATACATACATATGTACATATAAGTTGGTGATGTTCTGAACGAAAATTTAGTTCATTCTAAGATATTATTTCCTAAATTTTTTGTCCTTTGACCCCGCTCACTAAATATTGGACCTAGAATAAAAATTTTGAGAAATTGTTATTTAGAATGAACCAAACTTTCATTTTCGTTGGGAACATATGTAAGTACTTTATATTTTCTCCATATAAACGTAGACACCCAATGTCCTTAAAAACAATTATGGAAAGTACGTACATAATACATACATAGGTACATACCTAGCATGTTTTCTCAATTATTTTGTTAATGAAATTGGAAAGTGTAAGATAGTGAAAATATCGATTTCGAAGAAAACTTAAATATAAAAACATACATACAACCTACCAATTTATTTAAACTTTAGTCTTGGGATCCAAAATAATATACATACATATGTATGTATGTAAGTTATGAAGTCCAGATGATTTCCTCCAGCTTTATTGGAACCGCATTTTTCTTGTAAATATAAATTCCCTCTGCTTATAATGATCACCGTTATTATGATTTTTTTCCACTTTTTGTTTACTTTGTTATTTCTTTTTTGAATTTGTTTATGTGGTCAGTGACTTAAAACAACAACAAAATTCAAGCTCTTTTGGCAAATAAGCCAACAACAATTTGTTAGTAAATAGAACAGACATATGCATACATACTTAAGCAATTAATGTGATCAACGTCATAATCATCATTATTAAAAACAAACAACAATAACTTCATCATCATTATTATTCTCCTCTCATTCAACAAATTGAAGTCTACCTTACTCGCTCTTTTTGTTCAATAATATATACAGACAAAAATAAGTATTCCCACAATAACAAAGAAATCGTACAAAAATTAATGTTGTTGTAAAAAATAGACGAAAATAAGAAAATCGTTTTAGTCCGACTTTATAGATACCCTTTATGTACGTACATATGGTATGTACATACATAGGTATATTGATATGAAGTAGTTTTTGGTAATGGGCTTAAGTGGAAATTACATACATACATACATACATACATACATACATACATATGTATGTATGTATATGTAGCCAAATATGGGTTGATCATTACAGAAGTGTAAATTTTGTTTTACATATCAAATATTTCCATATAAAAAACGGGGTTTAAAACTACTGCTGAAATTAATGTATGTATGTACTATGTATGTATGTATGTATGTATGTATGTATGTATGTATGTATGTATGTATGTATGTATGTATGTATGTATGTATGTATGTATGTATGTATGTATGTATGTATGTATGTATGTATGTATGTATGTATGTATGTATGTATGTATGTATGTATGTATGTATGTATGTATGTATGTATGTATGTAATGTCTGTATGTATGTATGTATGTATTGTATGTATGTATGTAGTATGTATGTATGTATGTCTGTATGTATGTATGTATGTATGTCTGTATGTATGTATGTCTGTATGTATGTATGTATGTATGTATGTAGTATGTATGTATGTATGTATGTATGGACTATGTATGTATGTACTATGTATGTATGTATGCATGTATGTATTTATTTACTGATCACACAAAGTTTATTTCTGATAAATACAACATACATACATATGTATTTATAGAGAATTATACAGTTTCGGAGGTCATACAGTATCAATAGGCTTAAGTAAAGTAAACTTAAGCATATTGATAACAAGGATTATATGGTTACAAGGAAGCACAAATTGAGCACAAATGCTTAAGTATTGTCACCGCAATAGTCTTCGGAAGTGTAAGGTACATATACAAAGAAAATATGCACAATATATGCAGAAAAACATACAAAATACATACATGTATCTAAAAACAACAAAAACAAATGAAATTCAAAACGCAAATACGTTCGTACATAAAATAACAAGGTACATAGAGGTATACGAAAGAATACATTAAGACGGAAATATATAAAGGTAGACAAAATCAACAACAATAATAGGCAAAATATAAGAGAGTGGCATCTTTTTGCAACCACAAGCTTCTATCTATCTATCTATCTATCTATCTATCTATCTATCTATCTATCTATCTATCTATCTATCTATCTATCTATCTATCTATCTATCTATCTATCTATCTATCTATCTATCTATCTATCTATCTATCTATCTATCTATCTATCTATCTATCTATCTATCTATCTATCTATCTATCTATCTATCTATCTATCTATCTATCTATCTATCTATCTATCTATCTATCTATCTATCTATCTATATATCTATCTATCTATCTATCTATCTATCTATCTATCTATCTATCTATCTATCTATCTAAATAAACAAACAGGTTTGTGAATGTGCCAAACGGAACATTGCACACTTTTAAACATCTGCACAAAATGTGTAAATAAGTCGTTTTATCCATTAAATTTTACCGCCATAATATTGTAAGTTTGTATGTATGTATGTATGTATGTATGTATGTATGTATGTATGTATGTATGTATGTATGTATGTATGTATGTTTGCATGTATGTATGTACATATGTACATATGTAGTTAGTAGGGTTAGGTTAATATTGGAAATAATTGTAAAAAGAATAGTTAAGGCTAAATTTTTTAAAAATTGTAACGCTTTTTCGACTTTTCTCAAAATTCACCCACAGTGAAAGGATGCAATATCTTTGCGTTTCAAGAATCAGCCATAAAAAAGAACGGCTATATGCACAATGTACTTATACGGCGCGTCAACTTTAGGATATCGTTAGTTAGGATGCGATTAAATATAGTTTTTTTTACAGATTTGCCAGACTTTAGGTGTATACCTAAATCAACCTAAATAACCGTTTTCAAATGTTGAACAATACAAACAGGGCCGTCTTTGAGCCACAATGCAATTTTAAGAAGATCGTAATCGTATAAACGTAAATGAGTAATTGTTGTATCAAATCTACTTTTAAATTCTTGATAAATACAGAATAAATTGATAACATGTCAATATAAGTGATAAAGTAGCGTTATATACATACATATGTACATACATATGTATGTACATACTTAGTAGGAACAAGTATAAAGATTTGACTGCGCAGAATAAAAAGATTTATAATGAAAAAATAAAGCTATGACGTACCTATGACGATTAAAAGTATTTTTCTTTTTATCTTAAAACGAATACGTTAATTTTTATATGTATATAACATTATTCCCAAACAAGGAAGTTTTGAAGTTTTATTTTTTTACTAGGTTATGTATTAGTTTAATCTCTTTTCCATGATCTAAATTATGAATTAGTCTATGAATCATTTTAAACTAGGAAAAGTGCTATGCTATTCAATGTCCAAAAGTTCTAAAACAAAGTACAATTATACTGAATTTTCCATTCCTGTAACCTTTTATATATTAAGAAAATTCTGTTTTAGAAATTAATAATTTAACTGAACACCCTAAATACAATTTCTTAACTTGTGTTTTGTTTTTGTATTTCTTCTTTCGTACAGAAGAGAATAGAAAACAAAAACAAAACAGCGAGAGAGCACTTTGTTTTGTTTTTATTTGTTTGTGCGTTTGATTTGCTTTTACCTTTTCATAAACTCTGCTTTTTAGTTTAGTTTTGACGTATTTATCGTAGAACAACGTTTGGTTGTACGGAAGAAATCGCGTAAAGTTAAACAAAACAAAAAAGTGACGTTAAATAGTATATACAGATATACACACATATATTATATACATTCATACATATGTATGTATGTGCAAAAAAGTATTAAACAAATTAGTGCATATTAATAAATTAAAAAGAAAATTTAGAAATTTAATATTGAGTTATTGTTGTACCTACTACGTTGTAAAAGATACTACAGCAAATATTTGTTAATAAAAAAAGAAAATTACACCTAGTGTTAATAATAAATTTTACAAAAATTTTATGTATTAAATTTTAAATTGCAATAAAATTGATGTACATAAGAAATTTTTAAAAAAGAATTTCATGTGGAAACCAGATACCAGACAGGAAGAAGAAATAAAGAAAAAATAATAAAGAAAAAATTGTGTTTTTTATAATTTTCTCTTATAATTGTGGATACCATAAAAAACAAGTAAAGAGGAATAGGCGAATAAAGAAAATTGCAGAAGTACAAAAACAAAAAGGGTAAATAAATAATGTAAAAAGTATATAAAAATAAAAAAACAAGAAAGGGGACGCCAAAACAAAATAAAGGAAATTTGTATAAAATTGTGTTGTTGTTTTCCTTAACATTTGTTTTTGTTAGTTTTTTTTTTGCTAGATTGAGGATGTGTGTGTTTGTGCATGTGAATGACGACAAAAGGTCGGACCGGTATGTTTTTGTTATTTACTTTTCTTAGCTTGTTGTGCCTGACGGGGATATTATTATTACTTGTGTTTATTGCAACGGTTGATATTATTATTTCTCCCTGTTTTTTTTTTGTTAAAAGGTGTTGGTAGGTGAATGGTGTTGGAAGGTAAGGAGGTGGAAGATTGCTTATGTTACACGCTCAAGTAACAGTTGCTGTTTTACTTGTCGCGGCTGATAGGATGTCATATATGATTAAATATGTGTTTAAAAGTGTGTTTTTTCTTTTTTACATTTCAAGTTAGACCCATGATTAACAGACTAGTCAACAGACTGATCTATAACCTATCCATAGAGCAGACAAGAGGCTAGTTTAAATATGTACCTACTTTAGAATATTATTCTTCATGCATGGACTGACTATTCAATACAATAGAATATCCAATAGAATAGTCAATTAGGCAATAGACTATTCAAAATACCCACCAGTCAATAGACTAATTTACAAACTAGCCAATAGATTTGTTAATAAATACATTTGTTAATAGACTAGTTCAAACCCTAGTCATGACATCATTCAAATAGTCAATAGCGAAACAAATGATTGAGATCATTTTACCTGCCCGAGGTGCCCTACTTTTAGAACTTCTAGAGTCGTGCGGGCAAGGTTTATGTGATCCAAAACATAAACTTGGATATACATACTCACTGGGTATAAATCGAAGTGATTTATGTGACCACCTGTCGTGTCTGCCTTATTTCACGGTGGTATTTTTACAACTCTTTTTTCTTTCTTACACGCTAATGGAAATTTTGTTCATGGTTCTGCTGGTCCATGTACAAATACTTTGCTAATTTACTCGATCTATCTTACCTTTTGACAATTTCTGCACTGTTACATATCTTCCAAGATGCAAAAACTTCACTTGCGTTTACAACCACTATTCTGTTTTCACTTCTGGCTTCTGTTTATTCGGCAACATCACCTAGAGACGTATTCGGTAGACCGAAATACAAATCCATCAAATATTCCAACAACAGCCCTGAACTTATTTTAAAATATGGACTTCACGGAATTTGGGTTTAAACCACACATACCACGTGCATCCAGAAGGGACCTCTCCAATAACCGGGACAAAACAAAGTCCAAAGATCTGTCCTATGGACTAACAGTTCCCGGGAAAGCAGACTATAAGGCTCCCATCCTAATTCATTCCAAGGAAAGACCAAGGATACATTTGACACTCCCGGCACATACTAGTGCACATTTTTTCTCCCGTATTGCAATCAAACCAAGATGTGGGAAGTTCAGTAGGGTAACATGCCCGCGGGATCCTACCTGGGTGTTTCAAATGTTATTA